GTTCTACAAGATTTGGACGTCACGGGATTTAGCACCACGTCCAAAGCCGCTGGACGGTTAGCTGGACAAGGTTAGGTTAGGTTAGGCTTTGGACGTTGCACAACTACAATTTTTTAAGAGTGTAAAGTGCGCTGTTTCGCGACGTCCAATTTCATGACGTCATGAGCTTGTAGAAAGACTATTTTATTGCAGCTACTTTTGGACAGGATGAGATTAGGACGTCGTGCGAAAGTAAAATATTTTATATTGGACGTCGTGAGACAGCTCAAGAAATATATTTTGGACGTCGTGACATTTGGACGACGTCCAATCGCATCCCGTCTATGATCAATTAGTAAAACAACCAAGACGAATATGAAACGAACAGTTATAATTGATGCTCGATTAATCGCAACATTGTCCCTCTTTCAATAACCTTCCTGAAAGATTAAATTGCGTTCAACGGCGAAGACTCGTAAATAGCAACTAATGACAGGTTAGGCCCACCCAGGAATAAATTGATTCGTTCCTCGATAAATTGATTCGTTCCCGTTCGAACGGAACTGAAACTGTTGACATAAGCTTGCATGTAAATTTATAGTGATGGTTGTGATATGTTTATCTATTCTATGCACTATTTTGTTTCGTGTAAAAAGAATATTAGGAATTATTGGAAAGGAGTTTTAGTTTTTTTATATATAATTGAAGTGCCGTAGAATCTAGATATAACAAGGTAGGGTTCTGGACCAGCGGTTTTTGGTATAATCTCATAACCTTTGGTGTTTGACGGGATTTGAATCTCGGACTTGATGACGATGTCTCACGCTTTAAAAACAAAACCAGCCATACCTTAACGTACGAAAAATTTCACAATGTGATTAAGATGCCATTAAATAAATATTAGAATGTATTATAGGAAGCCAATAACAAACCTTTCAGAGGATTTCCCTTTTAGGGAAGAATCTATTACCGTAGGTGGCACGGTAAGACCGTTCCGCGGGACCCGGGACCGATAACATTTTCTTTATGTCCCAGAGGCCAAAAACACCACCCTCAAAAATGTTTAATTAAAGTAGTTCGGAGTCTACCTTAAGCTTAAAGACTACAAAAATTAGTAAAATAATATATAGTATCGTTGATAACGTTGATACTCAAAACAGAGATTGCTGCACTAAACTGTTAAATGTCAAATTATATAAAACGAAATTCCAATTTCCATGGGCTTAATTAAGGTCAGATTGTTCATTCCCCAAAGAAATTTCAGATTTTTGATGTTTTCGTGGGGTTTTTTTTAAGTTAACATGTTTATATGTACATATTCTATTTTGTAGTCAACAAATAAAATTTCAAAACATTATCCAGTCAAACAGTTGATGTTATAATTGACATAGCATAACCCTATGCATTGCCCCAAATTATTAATACAAGTTCATTGAAAAGGGATTCTTACATAATTTTCCAGTTTTAATCATGGTTTGCCTAAAATACAGTTTTCCCAGCTCCAAAGTTATCAAAATATCAACTAAGTACATTATGTTTTTAAAACTAGAATTTTTGTATGTTTTGAGATTTTAATGTGTTTAGGAAATTACTATGATTCTATACTACTGTTTTACCAACAAAAGTATCATAACACATTGGTCATTCAAACATTCTATTACACAAAGGGTCTCTATCGTATTAAAAAAGTACATTTTTGCTTCTCAGGTTTCTTGTTTTCCAAACCTCAGATGTTTCCATGATGCTCTATATAACAATGTTCCCTGCATAATTCATTAAGTGTTTTACACACAAGGGGGATTCGATGTATAAATCTGGCTCTGAACGTCTCCGATTTTCTTTTTACTCTCGAGTTTAATGGCGTGCCGTAAAATTAATAGTCCAATGTCGCCAGGAATAGTTTGAATTCTTGCTGGCAAATGAGATTTAAGAGACATTCACTGAAAAATCTACAGATTCAATTAAATATAAATTTACATAGATACGAAAACAAGATATTAAAAAGTATTATATTTAGACCTAGACTATTATTCTTGTTGGTTTCAAAATATAGCATACTATTTAATCTTAACTCAATTATAAAAATTTTCATTGGGTGAAGTTGTTTCTAAAATCTTTAAATGGAATTTTTTTTAACTTTTATTTAAAACTGCTTGACTGTTTTTTTCGGAAGCTTTAAAGTATTATTTTTTTTTATTATGTATCTAAATTGACTTTCTATGGAGGTTATGGTATTTTAATAAACACGTTACCCCGTAAACAAGATAGCTGGAGTAATTGTGGTTAGACTTTTATTAAATTATGGCATGAACTTGATGGGTGGGACTTGAATGGGTTTGCAAACACACTGTTTGCTATGAGGTTTTTACATTTTCCAAATTAATTATTTTCATATTTCTACCCTGAAAACATAAAAATTTTAAATTTTAATTACAACCAACGTGTAGGGCTGAAACAAGAAAAAAATTTGCATGTCATGGTATTGTTGTATGATTAAAGGTTACTTAGAAAAGTTTAGACAATTTTTAAATTTAAACTTTTTAATTTTATTTATATATATTTTTTGGTAAGTATTTTTCTTATTCATGAACATATTTTGAAAAAAAAATTGGAAAATCTATTTATTTCATACCGAATTACTAACTTGTCACTAGAAATACACTATTACCTCCCCCTTAGCAGCAAACCTAAATTATCATTAATATTAATATAATTTGAACAGAAAAAAAATCTGACATTTTTAACGGAATATTTTTTGTGAAAATCCAACTTGGTAAATGCAGTTTGGCTGCGGTTAGAGTATTATAAAAACTACTTGAGTATTGTAAATACTTTATTCCATTCCTTATGACACCCCTAAGCATTCGTACTTGTAAAAAATCTTAAAATTACTACCAAACTCGTTGACACATATGTGTACTCTCTGTGTTAATGGAAGGGGGGGGAGGGCTCCAGATACTAAACACTTTGAGGCGGCTTTAAATCAATTAAAATTAATTAGTTCGATAAGAGCGAACCCACGCGTCCGCAGAAAGTGGGCGAAGACCAGATGACGCTGGGAGAAACATGAGTTGAAACTTAAACGGTCACAAAAAATACTTAGATGTTTCTCAAACCACTTGATGTTGTTGGGCAAGTAAAATGAAGCTATTTAGTACTGAATTACGTGTGAGAAAGAGAAAAGTTGTTTCTATACCTTGAAAATATGCATTGGTCTATCGAATGATGCTACAAATGGTCCATGTATAGGAAAGATAGGGTTTGGAGTACTTCCTAAAAAATGTATTATATGCTGATTCTGGTTGAAATAAAAACTGTTATGTGGTTCCAAATAAATATTTTTAACTTAAATTTATTTCAGTTGTATTCTTGAAAGGTCGTAGAAAGTTTATTTTAGTTTAGTATTTCACCTTCTGGTATTGTACGAAAGAATGGCGTGAAACTAGGAATGGATTAACACTTATTTATTTAATTACATGCCACCATATTTTAGAGGACATAAAAATTTATGTTTATTACAGGGACATGAGTTAACCTTTTACAATGTTGCATAAATGAATAATTGGTTGTTAAATTTCAATCCAGTGGAGGATTTCACCTTGCATATAGGACGTGGAGAAATATCGCTGAAATATTATTCAAAGTATACTGGCCATTATGTAGTGATAAATTAGTAAATTATATTTGAGAGTTCTCCAAAAACTATAAAGTTCTGCTTGCCTTGAGAGATATTTAACTATTTGTTTTCTTGATTTGCGATGGCAATGACTTATGTAGGATTAAACGGGGCGTGGCAATGAGATCACCAAAATGTCAAACATGTGCCCTATACATAAAAATAACACATCAAAACATATCTTACCTTATGTTATTTTAACTTGATGGAGTAATTATTCCATTTCTAGAAAATAACGTCCTTGTTCTAATAGCATTTCTTTGGTAGCTTGAAAATTCCACCAAATATTCACTCCAGCTTGAAATTGCTTGCATATTCTGGACAATTATTATCTTCCGTTAAAGCAAATCGCTGGGGCGACTTTAAAAAACCTTTAACTGCAAGTTCTTTATAAATTGTTTGCAAAAGAATCACAATTATTCCTAAAATAGTATTGCGCAGCAAAGTTACAGTGTTAATAAACTCATAGCATAATTGTTTACTAACATGGCGTGGTTTAATTGAGGTTATTAGAACAGCTGTTCATTCATTGTTGCATTTCTCATCATGTGACAGCGAAAGTAAATTGGGGGGTATCATTGGTACACCCTTTACAATCAAAATTTCAACTTTTCAAAAATGAATACTTTGACACTGATTTAACAGTTTAAGAATAAATGCTACCTAGAGTCTTCCTTAAAACCCAAAAACACTATAATAAGTTTTTTCATGAAAAGCATATTCCCTGATGTAAATAATATTAATCGTTTGGTTGTATGTTTCAATCTAGGTCGATTAAAAATGAATTTCATTATATTTGGAGTATATTGTTATACTCCATTATACTTTGCATTTGGTATATATTATTTGGAGTATATTATACCTTTAAATACGCCACATTAGTTTATAATGAAATGAGGAGCAATTGAACAAATTCAGAATACTTAAACTTTGTATTAAATAAATAAACAACTTATTACATAAAATTAATTATTCTGTTCAAAGATGTTACATATATTAGTTATGTGTTTTGGTGTCATTTTATAAGTACGGAAAATAACTTAACACTATTTTACATAAATTGTACAACTTATTAGTTAATATGTGCTTATTATAAACATTTTGCATGTACAAGTTTCGTTTATCGGGTTAATATCATACTTTACATAAAAAATATAAGCTGCCAAGGAATAAAAGAGAAACTAAAAATTGAGTACCTATAGTAAAAACATTTCCAAAATACTTAATATTTTGTAGAAAATTTACGAATCATAACAGGATAGAACTAATTATGTACAAGGGTAAACACCATATAGGTTTTTTTGTTTAAAACATTCTCATATTTAAAAAAAAACATCTTATGCATACAATTATTTTGTTCATCAAATAAGTACATGATTTATAACAAGTAGCATTTATTATCTGTGACAGTTGCAGCACCAAAAGTAAAGAACTAATATTGTACGTGAAACTTTCACATTCAAGGCGTAAAATTGTTTCTAATAGAAACTTCTCCTGAATAAAATTGAATAAACATTCCGTAGTCCATATCTTTTTAATGCACAACAAACAGATTTCGTAAGAACACAAAGCCATTTCAACGTTATATATAGTCACAAATCAGGGTTAGGCAATGAATATACAGTCAGGAGTAAAACATAATTTTGCGTAAAATCTTTAAAATAGGTTAAACGAGTAGAAAAAATGCGTTAAAATTTGTTATCTCATATTACATATATTTTGCAGGCTGTGTTCATTGTTTGTATCAAGTTGCAATGATCGCACGGTAAAATTGTATACAAGGATACATTTTTACACACTATTTAAAAAATTTTTAAAGCTTCAAAATCTTGACTTTACGGTTAGTAAAAATCATTGAGATATCCATACACTTTCAACAATACATTTTTATCGTCAGTGATATAGCAGTTGTTGCATGGAATGTCAACCTATTGACAATATAACCTGTACAAATTTCGAACGACGTTTTATACAGAACCCTTACTGCCATTTCTTTATGCAGCTGCCTCAACAGTTTATTTACAAGAGTATTGTTCAGTCCGTTCACTGCAAGTGTCACATTTGACGTAACAGCACCAATGGAACTTGCAGCGACATTGGGTGATCTTTGTAAACTGGTGGGTATTGTAGCCTCGTCCACAGCAAAGAAGATCACAACCGTCAGTGCCTGGGAACAGAGAAGTTTAGTGCTAACAGGTTGGCAAAATAGGCAAGATGGTGAAAAAGACCATAAGGGTTAAACTACAGGTTCCAGAAAGCATATTTAAATATCTGGGAGTAACAATTACAACGAAAACGTATGTTGAAATTCTAAATAGACTCACGGCAGCAAAAAGATCATAAAGGAGCAAAATAAAATTATTGAATATAAACTTCTACCACAATATACCAAAATAAGAATGTATAAAACCACAGTGGAACCTGTAGCGCTACAGAGACGTGGTATTTCACTGTAATATCTCTGTAAGAATTGTGAAAAACTTACATAATTATTTCGTAGTAACTGTCCATACTACTAGAGGAATTCTAGTAGTATATACAGGACATACTATTGTGCATGAAATCTAGAGGACTAAGGATACTTTTGATTAAGTTCTCTTAACATTGCATAAAATCTAGTGAACCTTGAGATACTCTCACTTCATGATTTCTTCAGTCATTTTAGAAACTTGTTGAACAAAGAATGATGTATTCTTTCTGATCTCTGAAATTCGCAATCAACAACTCTACCGGGTTACATTACCACTGTCTTTTTAGATACTGGAGTAGACATCCCATTTATGAACCAGCTATAGCCAATCATTTTTACTAAAACTGAAAATACTTAAATGAACCCTTTACTTAGTTTTTGAGACTTTAATATTTATTATGGCATGCAGATGCAGTTTAGAATACGTTGTATCAGTTTCGCTTGGTTTAAAAGTTGGCATATTTGATAAAAGTGAGTATTAGATTTGCCTTGGTGTTGCCTGAGTTCTTGTAGGCAAGATGTTTGTGTCACCTATGCATTTCGTCATTTTGTGTGGCATCTTCAGGGGTCTTCTTGTGTTAGTGATAAGAAGATAAATCCATATTGTAGATTGAATTGACGAAATGCATGGGGTGGCACATCCTAAAAGATATCAGACAACAACAAAGATAAATGTAATGACTCAAGTGCTTGAAACTGGGATAGCAAAAGAAAAAAAAGAAGTCAGTAATTTAATCAACGTTCTCTGTCATTGACTCAACTTGAATTTTCAATCCACAACTGGCTACAACTTTACCAAAGAAATGTAAATTAGTCTACCCTGGTTTCCTCACCTGTAGATGTGCGGTTACACAGACGTCCTACTGTACCAAGCGACCCTGTGGACAAATCCCTCTCACAGTAGTTGGGGGACTGCTCCAGAAATACCAGGTCTGACTTCTTCGGAGAGGTCCCCGACAGTCCTGGCCTGTATTTTGAATCAAACAATATAGATGATCCTTAATACATCAATAACAAGCTGTATTTAATACTGTTGAACGTCTGCAAGGTTTTAGTTACCTTTTAATAAAAGTAAAAGAAGATACTGAATACATAATAATTAGGTAACTTTGTGGTCGAGTCATGAAAGATAATTTAAAGAGAACCTAAAATTTTTACAAAAGTAAATTACTTTTACTTTTGTTCCATTGTATTCTGTAGAATTCAAGCCCTTTTCCGTAGAATCCAAAGTTACATCAACAATAAAATTGCTATCTAAATTGGAACTAAGATGAAACCCCCTTTTAACACATTCAAATTAACAGGTTTTTGTGATAAATTGTATCTACACCCTATTTAAAGGTATAGTGCTAAAGATGATGCAACTTAGGCTTCTGTTTTCATCCTGTCTCAATACTCCTTGTATTTCTTGTAAGGGTTAACTTAACATAACAAAAATCTAAGAACCTGATATTGGAAATCTTAACATCAAGATACCCTAGTACACGTTCACAGTTGATTTTCTCCACCCACCTCCCTCTCCGCGTCGACAGCACGAGTCCTTTGGGCGAAGGCAGCGCCACCACAGGCCTAGCTCTCCAGTACTTCCTCATCAGGTTGTCGCCGATCACTCGGAACGGAGGGAGGGTTTTCCAACAAGTCTTCATCGTGCAAGAGCCTGAGACTCCATGGCACTTGCATTCCGTCACTAGACTCTGTCTGACGGCCTAAGCAACAGAAAAACATGGAGATTTAACACACATTAAACATGGATTCTCCGCAGGAGAATCTGAGATTATCATGTTTGAATTCCCATGAGAACCTAGCGAACCAGATTTATTTCAACATGACTATGGGATCTGATTTCAGAGTCAAAGACGTCTTGTGGAACGTATTGCTAGTTATGGAAAAATCCGTAATAATCCTATGACACTTGTCATAAACTATATTGAACTTATAATAGCCATCTTGAAAGATCAGTTACAAAAATGGTCACCAACTTCATGATTCGACACTCATGCTCTGTTTACGTGTTCTGTTGCATCCTGAGAAAAGTTAGAAATTCTGAGAAAGGTTTGAAACTGAACCCAGCTCTCGTTGAACTTACTAGCTGACTTCTAAAACCCCTCGAGACTTGGAATTTAAATGTTGGATGAAGAAACAACATGTTTCAGGGTTGTAGCATAGTGATAGTGAAAAGGTAGAGGAATTGGAGGTTTGCGTCAGTAAAAAAGCTACACAAGAATCTCACACTATTCTACACCCATGATTGAAAATTAATACTCTAATTTGTGTTCCATCTCAACTCATATTTATCTCGTATCAAACCTTAGTTCCAAAATTCACCTTTCTGCCGGCCTTGTTGTTATGCAGGTTCATCAGACTGCGTGCGTCAGACTCCAGCTCTCTAGCGTCAAGAAACCGTCGTGCCAGCCTCATGCCATAGCCGACATCCACGCTGCAGCCGCCCCACTTCCAGCCGGCAGGCGCCAACTCCTTCCGCGTCTTGTGGCGCGGGTCACAGCCGCAGGAAGAGATGTTTCCGCGGGCGCAGGCTGCCGCTACAGCGTACGCCACGCCGGCGCTGCTGACGGCGTATGTGAACGCGGCTTCTTTGCTGCCTGCGGAAAAGAGGATTAAATTACAAGAGGATTTATCTCTAGAGTTAGGTTCCTGAATGAATGGTCTAAGAGCACAGATTAAGGGTGCGCTCTACCTCAGCACGGAAATCTCAGCTCGGGCTTCAGTTGCTATGTTGCACCATTGGACAGTGCCGCGAGAAGCGCTTGCAGAGGTTTCCAAGATTACTGTTTCCAAATTAACCAATAATGATAGCTACGCACTCTAAACGGCTTATAGTAGTGCAAATACTAATCTATAGTTCTGCGTTTTCAAATTTTAAAATAACGTTTTTTTAATAAGTTAGGGCTAGTTGAAAAGACCTTTTTTCTTGTCCTACAAATCAAGTGTATATGGTGTGTATTAAAAATAAATGAAATAATGAAACGCAGAACTATAGAAAATTGCATCCTCTTTAGTATGAGACCTTAACTTTGATTCTACCTTCAATGTAGCAGGTGAAAACAGTAATCTTGCAAACCCTTGCATTCGTTTGCGTGTCAGGGGTAGAGTGCACCCTTAAAGAGTAGACAAAGGGTAGAAAGTATGTAGTATTTACCTATGTTGTGGGGCATGTGTGTCAGCTCTTTAATCTTTGCTAATAGATAGATACCACCTTCGACTATAATAAGCACAATTTTTCGAGTTTTGGTCTGTTTTAGAGGTCCTCGATACAAAAGTTAAAAATGTAGCCATTTTAGAAGGGAATGGAAGAACGAAGTTATGAATGGCGACAATTCCTCCATCTAGGGATTGAGTTGAGGACACTAGATGGTAAGTGATAAATAGTAAATAATTCAGTACCAAAGCCATTATATATTTCATGTTCCTACATTTTCTACATGAATCATTTGATAATGCATCACTGATAAATTAAATATCTGCATTATTGACATAAAACATGCGTAGGACAAACAACATTATATACACATTCCAATTTATTTCTCTTTCTTCGACTCTCCCTCTTTTCAAATTGGCAACATTTAAAAGAGAACGTGATAAATATATGTATTAAGTAGTACAGTAGTACGTACTATTCATACTGTTTCCATACTGTTCAATGAAATGGCGACCATACAAAGTAGGTATTTTATCATTATAAACTACTACGAATAGGTACTCCACAGTGCGAAAAGAGCGTTTAGTTCATACAGATTCAAAAATAATCAACCCTTCCAACATTGAACTAAACTACTAGGAATTCTCTTTCATTCTTACTAAAGAGGGTGCTAAAATGTTGTCACCTATCAGACTAATGCAACGCGTGTCAAAATTAGAACTATTTCCTTAGCATACCAACCCAAAGGTGTCACCAAAGTGAAGTAGCTTCGCCAGATGTTGGCTGACACATTAAACAGCAGTTGAAGCCTACACGCCGTAACGTATTCACCTCGTAGGCCCCCATAAAACCTCATCTCTGTGATATTAATCGGTGATTGTAAACAGGTTCCCGCCACTTTATAGATTGCTCTTTGTTTGGCTTGAGCGCGTTATAATAAAATCAATCTCTATACACCTCCTTCCTGATCTACCGATATTTCAGGGTGTTATTTGTAACAGGTTATTGTAGAAAAGCAATCACTATAAAGTACGGATTAGGTTGTTCCGGAGCTGTTGACCTGTTTGACTAATGTGTGGAGTTTGTTTTCTATTACGAGGGAAGGGCGATAGTAACATTTGTACGGATTTAATTTATTGTGTTGCGTTTCTACTTTGTTCAAGGACGTTGATTATAAAGAATACTTACTTTTGTAAACGTGGTCAAATGTTATTTCATTGAAATATATAACTTAAAAGGAGTCATTCCTATTATTATGTTTCAGAGGATATACACTTTTAGACGTGCGCTTGTTTGAGATTACACCTATGAGATGTTTGACAGAAACTATAGTGACGAGCATGAACTTTACAATATCTTTCTACCCTTGCTTATGCACTGGAAACATTAGCTTACAGTGAACTTTGCTTCAATAATTTATCCTTGCCCCTTCGAATCTAACTAAAACGGTCCAATTCATGCCCGGGGCTAGAAGACCCTTTTATTTCCCTTTTTCAAATTACCAAGGTCGTTCCCATCTAGCTATAACATGCAACGTAATTAGACGCATACTCGCCTGAACTAAACGTAAGGTTTAGAAAGGTTAGGTTGAGGTCACTAGACTCTGATCACCCAACCAAACCAACATCATCTTTAAAAATGAAATGTGTATACTGTATATGTCTATAGCGAATAATCTCAAACAAACAACGGCATATGACTAATTTTAAGGTAGTAGTGTAATTTAGTGTCACAAAAGTGGTTTAGTGTCAATGAGTGAAACGAAAGTCTATGGTGTAAACATAAATCATTACAACTATATACACTATAATTACAAAACTACCTTTTACATATATTCCAACATTGTGTAAACCATGAACATCTGAAAAGGTAGTGTATGATCTAAAACAGAAATTCAATCGGCAAGAGACGGAAATTTTTAAAACAAGCATGTGCCGCTTCTTTCATTCTTGGCTTGAAATACTTTTGTTTGGCACTTCTCTTTCGTAAAATTGAAGAAGAAAGCCAAATGGGGGGTCTGGGGTTCATCCTTTGGTAAGGATGATTGCTACATATGGAGTATAAAAACCTAAGATTTAATTTTTACATAAGGGATTCGCTAAGATTTAATTTTTACATAAGGGATTCATTCGAATGTTTTCTGTTGTAGCCATTAAAGTGTGAGATTTTCCCAAAGCTTTCAAAAGTAGTTCTGCAATCCATCCATACTTTGCCGTAACTATACGTAGTTTTATCGCTCCACCTTGTATAATTTCGTGTCGCCGATATGGAGCTTGCTGTCAAAAGTGGTAAATTCTTTTGGCAATCGTCTTCTAACGAAAACTGAAAGAGTTCATCGCGTAACTTGTTTGAAAAACCCACACATAGCCTACTCAAATGATATACGTCTTCATAACTGTGTACCACCAAAGATTTTCCTGCACAATTTACCTATTCCTTGCTGAAACCCCGGCTATTCGTACGTAAATTTGTCAAAAACTAAACGTTCTTAGTGGCCTTAAGAGTTCGCCCTCCTCAAACTATCTTTCTCGAAGTGAAAACACCAAAATTCATTGACAGATTTGTCAACACCTATGACAATGACCTATGAACAAGCTATGGTGCCAGTACGTACAACTACAACACAGAAAGGAAATGTACAGAGGGAACATTGGTATACTTGTGACGAGCAAGGAAGAGCCCAAAAGTGACCACTGTGCAGAAATTCCTATCACACAGGGCACAGGGTCTTTCTCCACCATGGGGGGCTTTTGTACCTTAGACACCAGCGACTAGTGCTAGACACATGTATACCCTGAATGTTTCCTCTGTACCTTACTTATCCGTGCGTAAAAAACAGAATATAAAATCTTACTAATGATTTCACTTACCAACGACCACCACGTGACCGAAAGAGTTTCCTCTGCCAATAGCAGAGCAGTTCCACCTGTGATTGCTAAACTGCTGTTGACACTCCAAGGTCGCCAGTCGTATACCGTCACCCACGGCCACCATGGCGTCAGGGGCCGCTCTGCACATGTCCCTCTGGCGCGAAGTCAGTCCGGGGACGCGGTTACAGATGGCGTGCGCCCCCAGTGCCACTACTGAAGACTTCACCCTGTGGGGCAGAAAAACCTTTGATAAAACAAAGCCATAGAAGAACAGAAGTAGGAAATTCAAAGAATGCGATGCTTAAAAAGCGGAAGTCTTGGCCGTATGTGAACAAAATATCTTACTTCGTCAAACTACGTCCTCTCTGTACAATAGATGATCTTTTAGTTCACTGTGTCATCTTTTTTCTCATTGCAGATACGTTCACCCATTGCTGCAAAGTAGAAGATTTCAGTAGACGAGAGACAAAGAAAAAGGTCTTTTCTGTCTAATCACCTATATAGATCACCTATATAGATATTATACTCTTAGGTTAAATTATCCCCGCAACATATTCCTTATTCTCTTAGTTGGCTTTCATTCTCTTTTTCTCAATCCATTTCCGCATCTTAGAAGATGGACAACGACTTGGTGGACCAAGAAACACTCGGGGAAACTTTTTCTATCAAAAGACCACTTTCCTTCCATGTTAAGAATTTTTTTAAACCATTACGTTTTACCATAATCAAAGGCTTTACCCTTCTGAACTAAATTAGCTGTTCGTTATGAAACAGTATGCGTTTTGAACCAGTTTTACGATATTATTGATGACTAAATAACTCAGGAAATGTTTATTTCATCGGAGTTTAGCTGTTAAGTTAGCAATAATAGCAAAACACGAGTTTCCCTAAGATAAAAAAGTGCTGTGATTACGTGGTCTTCATCGTCGCACCGTGTATTTCTTCCACGTTTTGTATAGAATCACAAAACGTGTATCGAACTATTAGTGCGTCTGTCATCTTGTCAGCATTTAATAGTGGACAAACGTCTTTCCAAAAAAATTCCATTTGATGACAAGCTGTTGAGTGTTGACAGTCCGTGTGTGTAAATGACAGGTTAAACCGCCTGACAAGCTGTTATCAGAGCGCAGCACGTGTCGCAAACGATCAACGATGATTCACGAGATAGCCATCGTTAACGATCAATCTCACATCGCAACTCGTGTTAACACCATTGCGTGTGAATTCGTATGTAGCACAAGAAATAATCATGATTGAATCAGCGTTGATGTTGATTGGGTGGGATTAGGATTATTACTTTATTTACATAGGTTTGTTTTTCAATCTTAATAAGATTTTTTGTCGGAATTGTATATTTTTCTGTGACTGTGTAAAATATTATCTAGGTAACTCAGTTATGGTCAACCCTTTGAATCTAAAGGATGCTAGTTCGAGCTCGAGTGAGATCAGTTCTGGACCAAGACGACATTTTCAATGGGGTTGTGGGTTAAAAATGGTCTTTATAAAAAGTCATCGTAACAAATTGACAAGACCCGGGCGTGGACTTTTTTCTTACAAAATTTAAAAACTCCAATGTTATAGACAAAACATAATAAAGAACATAAAATAAAACAGCGTCAATTAAACAAAAATAGGGAACGAGGGTGTTTACCCTTAATTTTGAGTATCTAAAATGTGAAAAAACCATTTTTTAACGTTAATTAATCAACTTGTCTTTCAACATTTTAATAAACCCCTGCACACCCTCCAAGGACTAGTTGACCACTACCAAATCCAAAGGGAAATTCCACCCTTGACCTATCCTGGTGTGTAATTTTCTATACAGTTTGTTATTTACTGAATTATTTTTAGTTTAGTTTTTTAGCAATGCCTTATAGACGCAATCTTCTGGGAGAAAGTCAAGGAGTAAAAACGTGACGTGTTTTAGCCTGTCAAATTTTGTTTGACATTCAACCAGCATCGAACTAGTGAACATAGTTTGTAAGCGGTTTTGCATGTTTATACAACTAATATCTAATCTTGATGATATTCCAACTCCAATCGCAGATACATGCCGAGGTTTTCACCTGTCAAATCTTGTTTGACATTCAACCAGCATCGAACTAGTGAACATAGTTTGTAAGCGGTTCTGCATGTTTATACAACTATCTAATCTCCTTGATGAAATTCCCGTTCTAATCGGAGATTAACATAATCTATGTTACCTACAATCATTTAATTGCATATATTACAACACATTTGCCACCTACTGGGTACATTTGCATAGCTAGCACATGTTACTTCGCGTCTACCGCATTAGGCGGTAATTGACAGTTGCCAATCGATAATCGATATCGCTCACGGCGAGATGTAACCGAGGATTATCGAATCAGCAGTGATTATCGATAGTTAGCATAATCGGTTACAAGCCGAAGCTCCGTTCATCCACTTTGATGACGTCATGGGGTTGTATGAGAGAATTAAGATTGAAGTTGTAACTAAAACAATGGGTAAAGAGAGTACGTTTGGATTTGTTCTTCATTTTTTCTCAAATTTATCCAACATTAATTAAATATTATTTTAGACTAGCTGTTACCTATGAGCTTCACCCCGTTTTAATTCAAATTACACTAATAATATAACCATTGATTGGTTAAGTTAATCTGAAATTAACAAAACAGAATAGGTACAGTAATACAAACAAATAATCACACCTGATTTTAATAAGGTAATAAATTGAAATACAGGGCCGGACTTACCTATGGGCGAAGGGGGCGAACGCCCGGGGCCCCCGGGCCAAGGGGGGCCCCGACAGGGGCCCCCTTTGTACATTAGTTTTTATCATTAACTTCGAAAATTGATCAGACACTTAACAAATGGCCTTCTTTTGTAACAGCTTTATTTTTATTTTCGCTATCCTATGTTTAAGGTTATTGTTAGGTGCATTTTAAGGCATTACTAGGAATGAGATTCTTGACCCTAAGGGACTTTTTCTCAGAGTTGCACTGGGCCCCACGCTTAGGCCTGGTTTACATGAGCTGAGCATATGTGCTAGGCTGTGACGGACAAGTTTCAGTTTCAATGAAGCCGCTCGCCCGAACGTACGGCCGCGGCGAATGAGTTGAAGGGGGTCCCGCGCTTGGGGCAAAAATACAATAAATATGAAAACTCTTGTCCCAACGTAGAACGTAACTTGTAAAATTGTATTGTGTTAAATGGAGATTCACTGGAGTTCAAATACTTTTAAAAATAAAAACATTGCTCCGTTTATGTTTTATTAAATGTTATTTTTTTCTTTTACCTCTAAGTATATACCAATCAGGATTTTAAGGGGTAGAAGAATATTATCCGTTCAATTAAAAGGTTTTGTAAAAATAGTAATTAATTAAGTTATGCGTCCAAATTTTGATCTCCAATTTAGTCTTTGGAGTCAAAATCATATACTGTAGCACCAGTAAGATTTTTTAGATCTATATAGACACTTTAAAACAACTAGAGTCGTCTGATGTTAACAAAAAATTACATTTATTGGGATTGGGCGAGCGTTGTCATATGAAATCGTAAATAAGCGAATAAGCAGAAGCAGCTGCAACAATAAATGATAATGAGCTGATAAGGGATCCTGTCTAGTCCTGTCTCTCACGCACGCGCATACACACACATAAAATGCATTATCGCCTATCCAAAACAATTTAAATCACTTTACTCCCATAGTTTGTCCTTTGAGACTAGTGGTCACGTCAAGTTGGTTGAAATTGTCTTACTTTTGTGTTATTTTATTGTAATTCTGCAAACTAACAGTACAAAAACAAAGCTGAAGTGAGTAATGTTGTATTCAATGCTATGTTTGTGTTGCATTAATCGATATTGGATCCATGTAAACATCTTCCAGTTACTCATATAAATACTTAGCTTGTGAGTGTTTATTAGACATTGCAAGATTTTGCTCCTCAATAAAAAAACTCAAACTTGAAAGTCCCCAATGGTACTTTTCATGCTAGGACTTTAACATATTATAAAAACGAGAATGCCATAGGTACCAAAACCATTATGAAAATAAAATAATCACACCTATATTGTAGTAATATTGAAAAACCATACAAATCGACGGCAATAATCGATAATTTAAATACGTAATAAACAAAAATATATCAATACTTCATATCCAAATATATTATGGTAGCCTACCATGATACCATACCAAATATGCCGTCACTGGTACTATAAAGCAATACATTTTTATTTTTGTGTATAAAATTAAAATATGCTGTATATAAAAATATGTTAAAATAGTTATGTTTTAAGAATTTTTTTATATAGAACTTATTGCTTATTTGGCCTTAAATTGCTCTATTTGAAGCCTAAATTTAGAAAATTTTCCCGGGGGAGGACCCCCTAATCCCACTAGAGGACCCCCCCCCCGAACTTAAATCCTAGGGCCCCATTGGAAAATTTGCCCGGGGCCCCTGAAGTCGTAAGTCCGGCCCTGTTGAAATAACAAACAAATAAGTACAGCTGAGATATTTTTAACATTAGGTAGCCTATATGGTAAGTTCCCTTTAGAAAGGAATTACGACCTTAAAGGGCAATTTATGTATAAATAAGAAATAATAATGTAATACGATAAATAATGGATAGTTTTGCGCAAGGTTTCTCGTCATGAAGAACATTTTAAGTATATGGTTTATGGGGGTGTGACTATTAGTTTTCTCAAAAGTTCATGGGTACTTTGGGATTTATATATGGGTTTAAAGCTATATAAGCCTATATAGATTTTCGAATGTTTAAGTAATAGGGTACCTAGTGCAGCTGTGGTACAGGCTTAAATGGTATAACTCGTAAAAGAAGAGAAAAACAGTTTTAAAGTCTGGTAACAGCAACAGATAATACGTGGATAATGGAAGGTATTGTTTTTGACAAAAGAAACTATTTTGCATTTTGAAGGGGTAAATGTTAACTGAACAACTAAAATACAGGTTTAGAACCGTTGTACATCTTGTGTGATGTAAACTGAAAAATAACTAAAAAAGATGTAAATAAAAATATTGAGACAAATATCAAAAAGAGGAAATAAGCAAGGAGTTTACATGAAGATAACAGAAAACGACCCAAAAAGTACGAGTTGTATGTGTGGCAAATTTATGGGGGGAAATGGTTATTTGTGTAACTAGTGTGTAAAGTGGTGCTTTGCTGCACATGAGATAATATTTACGCGCGAGCCGCAGGCGAGTGTGAAAAAGTTTCTCCA